GGCTGGAGTGCAGTGGTGCCATCTTGGCTCACTGCAACCTCCACCTCTTGGATTCAAGTGAGTCCCCTGCCTCAGCCTTCTGCGTGGCTGGGATTACGGGCATTTGCCACAGCACCCAACTAATTTTTGTATGTTTAGTAGAGACGGAGTTTCACCACGTGGTCAGGCTGGTCTCGAACTCCCGACCTCATGATCAGCCTGCCTCAGCATCCCAAAGTGCTAGGATTACAAGCATGAGGCACCACACCCAGCCTACTTCTTTTGAGTTTTTATATAGTCCCTCGTCCTGTTCCAAGCCTGTGCCTCACTGAGAAACTGCTTATGGGATTGTTTCCTGATATCATATGAGAAGCTGCTTATTTTGTTGTATGTATTAGGGCAGAGAATCTAGGAGTATGGGCTGGAAGGAGAGTCCATTATAAGTGTATTTATGGCTGGGCACAGTAGCTCACACCTGTAATCCCAGCATTTTGGAAGGCTGAGGCGGACGGATCACGAGGTCAAGAGATCGAGACCATCCTGGCCAACATGGTGAAACCCTGTCTCTACTAAAAAAATACAAGAATTAGCTGGGCGTGGTGGCGTGCACCTGTAGTCCCAGCTACTCAGGAGGCTGAGGCAGGAGAACTGCTTGAACACGGCAGGCAGAGGTTGCAGTGAGTGGAGGTCGCGCCACTGCACTCCAGCCTGGTGCCTGGCAACAGAGTGAGACTCTATCCCAAAAAAAAAAAAGAAGTGTATTTGTGTGAGTATGTGTATAACAGGACCCTCCTAAGTTGAAGGGTTAGCTAATTAATAAGAACAAGGCTTCTCACAAGCCGTGGAAACTCTTCATTTTTAGGCCACTGAAATAATGTGCCTAAGTTAGCATCTTTTGTCCATCTCTTCTGCCTCCAATGTGGCATGATGCTTGGTTTCTGGGGCCTTGCCAAACATACAGTGAGCCTAGTTCTTGGCACCGACAGGATGCATCATCTCTCCTTCCATATCCCTTAATGAAGTGTGCAGCTCTTGTCCTCATTAGGCCCCAGCATTGTCAATAAAAGAGTCAATAAACCCAGTTGATGGGGTTGGGACCGAGAGGCTGAGAGGCAGTGGCTACACATCCACAGGGCAGACGTCAGCTCCACCACATGTCATGACCCAGCATTCAGGGATCAATAACCATCTCGGGATAAAGCCTCAGAGCCTGCCCTCCGCAGTTTCCTCTCCAGACCCATTTCAGCCAGGGCAGAGCAATGCCAGCCAGCTCCTGCTTTTGCTTGCAGTTGTTCCCACTCTATGCCATTCTGGGTGCCAGATGCTTTTGTTTCTTCCTGATTGGGCCCTCTGGACATCCCATAGATGCCTATTTAGTGAGTGCCCACCTGGCATGAGAACATGTAGATGGCATTCCCAAGCAGCCCAGAGGCCAACATAGGCCCTATTTTCTGTGTCTTCCGTCTGCTGACAGTTCGTGAAGGGTCCCAGTGGACAAGGTGGTATATTTTCTGCATGTTGTTCTGCTGGACTCCATTCCTGGCTGTTCTGCATCTCTTTAGATACCCTTATCTTATCTAATTACAAGGAATTCCAGATTAATTTCATGGCCTCTGCTCCAAAGCACCTCTTATCTGTGAGGGCCTTGTATTTTAACCTTGTCATTCTTTTGTTGTTTGTCTTTAAGGGGCGGGCAGCTAAGGGGATTCTAAGATCTTGCTGGAATTGGGTCTTGGGGGAGGGGGAGAAAAGGGAGGCAGACAGACCTGAGATTTGTGTATTCTGTTCCATCCTCCTGGCAGTGTGCAGAGACAGCTGGCTGCTTTCTTCCATGACAGCCACATGGTACCCAGCCACACAGAACAGGACCCAGGCAGGGACTCGGCTGCTGCCAGCCTCTACAGATCTCTTTGATATTTCTGACAGAGCAGTAAAGGACTTGTGACTATCACGTTTTGCCTTGCCTCTCTTCACCTCCTCTAAGACTCCTCGGTGTGGTTTCCATGGCTACCTCCAATCAGATTTGGCTTCCTGCGAAATTGGATTTCAAAGAAGGACAAGGCTTCAAAGGAATTTGTCCATTTAACAGAATGTCATTAGGAGTGAGGCTGAACTGCTGAACCAGGGTCCTCAGATGATTAAGGAAGGGCTGCGTTCATGTGTGGAAGCAGATTTCTGTCTGCAATGAGGAATCTTGATGCAACATGACAATACCGTATTGGAATCTGCCAGTCGCCCACTACATACTGACTCTGCACCTCCCTCTACTCCTGTCTCTCTAAAACCCAGAGATTCTTGTAAGGAAGGATATATGTAGAATACCTACACTGTGAGCTTTTGCTGTTTTCCTCTGTTTAAGTAAGCTATGACAGGCAGTGAAGCCTGCAAAGAAGTGCAATTACCTGAGTTTATTGCTCTTTATCAAACAATTCATTAGCTGGTAGCCTATATTAGTATGTGACACCATATCCTTGAAGAAGAGAGGGAGGTTATAAAATTTCCGTATGTTGCCAAGAGGGAAAGCAAAGCAAAGTTTAAGTTGACATATGGGAGGGACTTTGTTTCCCTTGCTGTATTTCTTTGTAACAGTTTTGATTTACCAAAAAAAAAAAAAAAAAAAAAAAAAAAAAAATTGAGGTGATAGCACAGTCAGCTCCCCTACATCATTCCTTGCTTTTAAACACATGTCATAAATACTTCAAAATGATTGTAGAGCAGCTACAATTTTATAGGTGAAGTAATGAGGTTGGTAAAAATGCCCTGGGAGTACTGGTGCTTGATGCCAAGCCTGAAAAAGGGAGTCTGCCCATTGCTGTGCTTTCTCAGGGCAGGAAGGAGGATGAGCAGGAGCCAGATTCCCCAGAGAGACATGACAGCCTCTGTTCCCTCTCCCTAATTTACTGCAGCTTGTAGGTGGGTCATGTGACCCTGAAACCAACAAACTGTTCCTTTTCAGATGACAGGATGCACTGTACCCCTCAAAGGATCTCACCCCCATCCTTGAGGCTGTATCTCTGGACAGGAAACTATACAAGGAGGCAGGCACTTCTACCACTTATCTTTCTGGACGATTTCTTCTTACTGCTCTTGCCCCATCTCCTAGGTTGAGTCCATCCTTATTCCCCTTAAGGCTGTTGTAAAAACCATTTTACCCACCTCCCCCTGTGTTTTTTCTTACCACTCTTAATCTTTTCTACATATTCCGTAGGTTGAGTCTGAGAATAGAAACGCCATTTTTTTACAAAGAAGGAGAATGGTAGAGGTGGAGATGTGTGAGGCCACATACTATACAGGAGCTCTGGTTAGGTCACTTACCATCTCAAAAATTGTCAGTGGCTCCCTAGTGCCCACTCAATTAAGTTCAAAATTCTTATTCTGACTTTCAAGTCCCTTTGCAGTAGAGCTGCAGTTTGTCTTGACAACCATAGTCTTCCTACAACATCCAGTAAAAGAGGGCTACTAACTATTCCTCAAGCTGGTGAGGGCTCTTCCATCTTTCTTCACTCTTGTCCTTCCACCTGGAAAGTCTTCCTGCCCCTTCAAAGTCTGGTGTGTTCTTCAGAGCCGATCTCAAACACCACATGCACCTTTAAACACTCACATGCACACTGGCACTTCCTTTTTTTTTTTTTCTTTTTTAAGTGACAGGGTCTTGCTCTGTTGCCCAGACTGGAGTACACTGGGGTGATCACAGTTCGCTGTAACCTCAGACTCCTGGGCTCAAGTGATCCTGCTGCCTCAGCCTCCCAAAGTGCTGTGATTACAGGTGTGAGCCACAATGCCTGGCCTCTTCCCTCCTTTTCTTGTATTCAACTCCCTTATTTTATCAACCATAGCACTTTGTACTTTTTTCATGGCAGTTGTCCTGTTTCATGGCAGTTGACCTATTTATTTTAAAAAATCTCTTTATTTTGAGACAATTGGAGATTCACAGAGAGTTTAAGAAATAATAGCCGGGCGCGGTGGCTCAAGCCTGTAATCCCAGCACTTTGGGAGGCCGAGGCGGGTGGATCACGAGGTCAAGAGATCGAGACCATCCTGGTCAACATGGTGAAACCCCGTCTCTACTAAAAATACAAAAAATTAGCTGGGCATGGTGGCGTGTGCCTGTAATCCCAGCTACTCAGGGGGCTGGGGCAGGAGAATTGCCTGAACCCAGGAGGCGGAGGTTGCGGTGAGCCGAGATCGCGCCATTGCACTCCAGCCTGGGTAACAAGAGCGAAACTCCGTCCCAAAAAAAAAAAAAAAAAAGAAAGAAATAATAGAGGAACTCTGTGTACCTTTAGCCAGTTTCCTCCAAGGGTAACATCCGGCAGTATTACAGTACCATGTCACAACCAGGACTCTGACACCCAGTGCACCTTGAATGAGGCCCTGTGATTTTGTCCTTCGCTTTCATCCCTTCCTCGGCTCTTGGAGGGAAAGGGTTCTGTTCTCGCCTCGGCTTTCTCCCTGAGTTACCCCTTCCTTTCCTCAGGGCCTTTCCAGCCTGAGGGAGAAAGGCACAGTGTGGCTTCCTGCGTCCCTTGCTGCCGCGCTGCGGCGGCGATTCTCCCAAATGTTGGTGGCCTTATATTGTTCATTGGGACTTCCAACATTGTGGCTTCCCTAAGAGTGACGATCTGCCCTCCTTTTTGGGGATGGAGGTGCGAACTGGACCGGCAACTGAGGGTCCCGGGGATTCATCTCTTCCTTGGATTTTGCCTCCCGGCACCCCTCAGGCACCCCGTGGTCCTTCACGTCTGCCACCGCGAGGCCAACTGTTCGGTGCTTTAGGATGGAGCCTCCAAAGCCGTGGTTCCTTTGAGCCTTGTGAAGTCTTTTGTTTTGGTGAGTGCTGGAGGGGCGCACCTTCGGCCTCTCAGGGTGCGGCGCTTCCGGCACCCCCTATCCTTCTACTGCTGAGCCCCGGCGTGAGCGCCACGTGCATCCGCGCCGCGTCCCGGCCCGCCGCCCGCCCGCCGCCCGCCGCCCGCAGCCCGCGCCACTTCCTGACGCGCCCCGGGACCCACGGCCCCGCCCCGCGGCCGGGCTGGGCTGGCGGCGAGCGCGGCTGAGGTACAGGTGCCTCGCGGCGCAGCCGGGTCGCCCTCCAGCCCGTCCACCTCCCGACCAGGGCCCGCGCCCCGTCCCGCCTCGCACGTCGCCTCCCTCTGGCCCAGCCAAATGCAGGCCGCCGCCCTCCCTGAGGAGATCCGTTGGCTCCTGGAAGGTAACGCCCTGGCGCAGGCCCCCTCCAGTGCTGAGCCGAAGGCAGGAGAGGAGATACCAGGCCTCCCCCGGCCGGGCTTTCTCTTCAGCTCCGTCACTCACCTCCTTCTAGAACCTCAAGGCTTCTAGAGCCCTCAACTCCCCAGAGCCAGCTTTCCATCCTCTCACCTCAGGACCCCTTTCACTCCCTGGAGTCCCACATCTTCCTCGAGGCACCTCCTCGCCTCCATTTCACCTCCCCGGCTTCTAAACTCCTTCAGGCCGGGTTCTTGGTCCTCATGCCACCTGGCCTGGTCCTCCCCCGTCCCTTCCTCTGAGGGACTTCCCTACATCTGTGGGTTTCCCGTCCCCCTCCTTCCCCAGCCCCGACTTCCTCACCTCTCACAGAAGACCCCAAACCTTCCTGCTTTGAGGCCCCTGAGGCTCTCCAGGGGGCTGCGAGGGGCTCATGGGATCCCCATGGGCCAAGGCCCGGTGGTTGACCCGAGTTTTGTCAGAGCGAAAACCCCGGCCCTCCCTTTATCACCCTGCAGACGTTTAAGGGGTCTCACCCACCCCAAGGCAGGCTCGTTCTCAGTATGGCCTTAACTCCTTTTCTAGAAGTGCTCCCATTTGGTGTGTTCACCTTCCCACTACAGTGTCTAAGCAGTGGTTTGAAGAGTTTCGGCCATCCTCACCAACACTCAACACACACTGCCAACACTCCAAAGAGATATCGCAAAGAGATATGGCAAAGAGACGTCGCTAACGGGCAGTTTCATCTGCTGGGTTTCATGGTGAAAGTCACTTTTACTTGCTTTCCTGTGACTAACCTTCCAGGGAGGATAGAAGCCTGGAATCTGCAGTTGCATAAGGTCCCAGGAGGAAACTATTCAGAATTAAGCCTTTTGGCATCTAAGTTGACATATTTGACACATATTTAACAGATGGCCTGCTTTGGGCAGGTCATATTTTTGGCAAGCAGTTATTTTTTTCAGTTTCTCTCAATTTAATCGGTTTTATATCTCCCATTACCTTGTTATCTCGGTATAAATGCCTCCTAATCAAATATTTGGCAAGTCCTTTTGGTCTCTGTTTGTAGCACTGTTTCCATTCTGGATTGCTTCTATGTAAAAGCTGTCAACTAGATCTTTCTTTTGAGGAGAGGTTTCCAAAATCCATTTTACTTGTGATGAGAATAAATTTAAACTTTGCGGGTAGAAAACTATTTGCAGGGTAAAAGAGCATTATCTGGGTGTCTAAGAAGAAGCATTCCAGCCTTTCCCTTTGTTGTTGGTTTAATGTTAGGCTTGTGAAAGAAAGCTGTAATTGTCTTTGGTTTCTAAAAGAAGGAACTATGGCAAAAAGTTTAACTCTGCCCTTGCATTGAAAGATGTAAAGTGATTCTTTTTATTGGTATCTGTCATTTGATGAGAGGAAACCTATTTTATAAGCTTGTTAAACTATACTTCAGTTTTTTGTCTAGCTTTGGTAGAAAATTCTTTTTATTTTCAGAGGCTTGCAATGAAATTCACTCCTTCAGCATTTTTGATGTGCAGTTCTTTATTGTTCAAAACTGACACTTTGGTAAACAACTCATTTCTGCACCTGCCACCTTCCTTTAGCTTAGATTATTTTCTTGTTAGCTGACTGTTTTTAATTGAAGTCTTCAGATCTCCTTCTAAAGCAGAACCTTTGTTTGCTGACAAGTAGAGCAGGGTATGAATGGAGATTAATTGCATGTCACATACTTCTGTATCAAACTTGCTGTGTCTTAACAATCTCTGTTGGTGATTTAAAATATGTGAAGGAGTCTGAAACTAAATTATAAGGAGCTTCGTTGGTTAAAGTATTTCTTTAAGGCTTTTTTTTTAAGTTTGCAATTAGAACTTGAATCTGAAGTAGAGAAAAGGAGTGTAAAGTGTGATTCATCCAGTGATTTTACTGAAAAATGTTTGAAGAATATGTTTTTGAAAGGTTTCTATAATAATAATAGCAACATGTTGGTTATAGGTTTTATTTCTTATGGAGCATAGTCTCTGGTGTAGTACAGGAGCATTATTCATTGTGTTACAAATAAATTGTCGATATTAGAAACCCAAAATGGCCATCAATTTGTTGTTTGTTGCTATTTGTCTCTCCCACCACACACTTTTTAAGGTTAACTGTTGAAATTAGAAAAAATGGAGGTCCTGACGTCTATATAGTTACTCTGTGAGAGGGAGTCACAGGATGTGAGGACTGCAACTCTAGTGCTGCCACATGGCTGTGGGGGTGGGGTTTCCACAAAGAATTACGACTTTCATAAACCAAGGCATAAGCATTTGCACAGTGATTTAATGCTGGACATCACAGTCATAACTTAAGCATTTATTTATTTATAACTACGTAAGCATAAATGTATTTTCTGACATAATGTGTGTGCTTTTAAGAATAAAATATGTAAAGTATTATGAAAGGTTGATAACAAAATTTTGCATAATGAAAAAGAAAACAGAAATTCTCAAGGCCTAAAATTAATTTTGTTTAAATGTAAACTTTTAAACATTTAGAGATGTTTCACTTGATCTAGAAACCTCACTTCTAAAAATCTGTCACTGAAACTTAAAGGACATAAAGTAGTATATGCACAAAGATCTATCCTAAATGTTAGTGAGTTGGGAGACTCAGGGTGATGATTGAATGAATTATGGGACATTTGTCTTACAGAATACTTCACAGCCACTAAAAAAAGATTCTGTGGATCTATATATAGGCTTGAAAGGCATCCATGGCATATTTTTAAGACTAAAAGGCAAAATGCATGATAGAATATGTAATATCCCATTTTTTCTTGAAAACCAAAGGACAAAACCAGAAAAGATACATATGTTATAAATGTTTGTGTAAGCCTAGGAAGAAGTAAAAAAGAATACATACCAGTCTGTTAACATTGGCTTCCTTGGGAGAAGAGTGAGAGTTTGGAGGAGGGGAGGTTATTATTAATTTTTATTTCATACATCTTTGTGTTGTTTGAATTGTGACAACGACCATGTGTTATTTTTGTAAACAGGAAAAAAATAAGTAGTAAGGATATTTAAAAGAAAAAGGAACAAAAGACAAGTAGAAACTCAGAGAGGTCAGATTGCTAATGGACCATTAACTATGCTTGTGGTCATGTTTTTCTCATTTTAGCCCTGAGGGGTATGGAAGGTGGAGAAATTAAAAAAAAAAAAAAAAGCTCTCTTGGATTTTTGGCAAGTATCAAAACAGTGAGAGGCTTCTAGGGTAACTCAGGAAATAGCTTCTTTAGATAGACTTTGTCAAGCTCTCATATAGAAATAGTAACTAGTCCCCTATCAGCAAATAAGTACCCTATAGATAAGTAAAATGAAGGGTGCTTTCTGCTTTATTGAAAGAGGAGGAAATATTCAGGTCTGTTTTCAAATAATAGGGCTTCAGATGTAGAAGTTATCTTTTTGTTTTTGTTTTGTGATAACCACGCTGAAAACAAAAACAATGAAGTGCTGGCAGTTTGTATAATCTTTGCTCCACAGATATAAACATAATTAGTCTCTGCTTCCTGGTCTTTCTAGCCCCGCTTTTGAAGTCAAAAGCAAAAGAGGCGAGTATGAAGGAGGTAGAATAGGTATTTCTTTTGTTCATAGTTTGTCCTGTGTGATGGAATGGGGCCTACTGACTTTACCCTGGTAGCTGATATGTCCCAACTGCCTACATGGTACTAAATCCTGCCCAGAATATGGATTTAAGCCAAAATAACATCAACAACCTGGCTGCATGTAGTAGCAATTGCTGCATTAATGCTGATTCTGATATGAATACTTATTTTTAAACTTCCTTGTAAAGAAGAAGTCATTAATCATTTCCTTCCAGATTGTTCTCCAGACCTGTATTGGTCAATGCAGCCAACCATAAAATCCATTTCCGTATAGTAAAATTCCAACTATGGGGAACTTGCAGGAATGAGTTGCTCTGGATAGCTGAGATTTTCTTTAAGCACTCTTAATTTTTTATTATAAACATTTGTGACCAGATTTTTTTCTAAAACGCATTAGGAACTTTTCTTTAACCAACTAGTCTATGGCTGTCTTCAAATGGACCTCTTTAGAGCACTGTTTAACTCAAAGTTGTTATTGTGAATATCTATTATCACACTTTATGGAAATGTATTGTGTAAGATGTTTTGGCCATAGTTGCCCCTGAACTGCTTTGTAAGTATCTGTGTCTGCTTTATATTTTTATTTTCATTATTTTTTTTCCTGCTGTAAGGCCAGGGCCTATCACTTTGTACTTTTGTCTGTGTGTCTACATTCCCAGTGTTTCTGGAACATCAGATAACCAAGTTAGTTGGAATTGAGATATGTGTAAGAGAAGTTACAAAGGGCTTTCTTGATTAACAAAGTACCCACACCTTTAACTGTGGGCTTTGTAAGATGTATTTTGGCTGCTCAGAATCTTTTTTGCTTAATTTTTGAAACTGGATTGCTTCCAGATTGGTAAGGCTACTGCTCAGTTGAATTCTGAAAAGTAAGATATGACTATAGTTCTATTCCTTTTTTATGTTAAACTTTTCTGATTATAAAAGTAATAATGCTAATTATAGAAAATTTAGAAAACATGCAATAGGATACAGTACTCAGAATCAATAATTGTTAAATTTCCATGTATTTTTCTCAGTGTTTATTATATGGATTTACCTTAAAAGTTGGGATATATTTGTGTATAGGTTCGTATATTGATTTTTCTACTTACAGTTTTTCACTTGTTATTGTCTCCTGAGGGTTTTCTTTTCTTTTCTTTTTTGAGATGGAGTCTCCCTTGATGCCCAGGCTGGAGTGCAGTGGCACGTCCTTGGCTCACTGTAACCTCTGCCTCCTGGGTTCAAGCCATTCTCCTGCCTCAGCCTTTTGAATAGCTGGGACTACAGGCACTTGCCACCATGCCTGGCTAATTGTTTGTATTTTTAGTAGAGGTGGGTTCACTGTGTTAGCCAGGATGGTCTCGATCTCCTGACCTGGTGAT